AAATGGGAAGGGATACAGAAGAAAGTGTTATCTAAAACTGTCTCCTGTGCATCATTCTACCTGAGTGCTTCGAAAGTACCTAGCAAATGTGGCCTGACCTTTTGATGGGACACAATTGAGCAGGTGACAGATCTCACTGGAAGCAGTGACACACCCCTGGCCACCCCGCACACACCTTCCTCACTTAATTGGTTCTCAATCTAGCACCACAGACCAGCCCCAGCTCTGACTGACCTGCTCAGGGTGGTAACCGGAAAGTCAAACAACTTTGGTTTCTCAGAGACTGACAAATCATTCTCTAGCCAAACAAGCTACTTCAGAGTTGATCTCGCAAAGTTCCTTATATAAATGAACTGGCTCTGAAAGAAACCGGCTTCATTGATAAGCAGTTCCCCCAAAGATCCAGAAAACACTTGAGAGAGTTTTCCACTGACCTGTACCATAAACAAACTCTCACGACCCCACGAATGAAGCAAAGCTTTTAATGAAACCACCTGGCTGACACTGGGTGATGCACGTGTTTCACCGTGTTATTTTTTTTTAATCAACCCTTAAAATGATTTTAAAAATTTGAGATCCTTTGACAGCATTATAACTGCTTGTTTCTCTATTACCCCAAAGAATTGTTATTTCATAATAAGGCATATTTTCTTTGCTTTTCCAGTAACATCTGCTACAATACTATTTCCTTTGTGGCATATTTACACATAATTTCCACGGTTTCCTTTTCTGCTTTAAGTACTTGCAAGCATTAATTAATACAAAAATCAACTTTATTGTGGTATAACGTACATACGATCAAACATTCCTGTTTTAATAGTGCATTTCCATGAGTTTTGACAAACTGATATACCTGTGTAACCACCCTGACTGGTTACTTCACAAGGAGACACAGCTTTCTTACCCTGCTCTAGCTATCTCATGGGCATACAAACATGGGCTCTAGCCCTTGAAATGCAAGAATTCCCTGCCCAGCTCCACGGGCAGATGGCAACCCACCATCTCCCTAAGCACTGTCAGTGCCCAGGGGGTTATTATTAAGAGCAGTCATATTCCATATTCCATTTCAACAACCACAATCATGTGTGAGAAAGTATTCGTGCCAAACCTAATGTTCGCTCACCTGGAGCAACACAATGTTAAAAGGACATAGGCTTTTGCCATTCAGATTATTATTTTTTTTTTAAGATTTATTTATTTGAGGGGGGGGAGGGTAGAAGGAGAGAGAGAGAGGAGGGGCAGAAGGAGAGAGAATTTCCAGCAGGCTCCCTGCTGAGCCCAGAGCTGGACACGGGCTCAATCTCATGACCCTGAGATCATGATCTGAGCTGAAAACAAAAGTCGGACGCTTAACCTACTGAGCCTCCCAGGCACCCCATCAGGTATTTTTACACAGTCATTCTCTCTGACACCCTGTAACTTCTCCAACCTAAAATAGTGGTTTCTCAAGGTTCCAGAACCCTCTCCCACCCTGCTCCCTCTTCCCCAGGACTCCCCAATGGGCCTCTGAAGCAGCCACTGTGTGTATTTTTGACCTGGGCAGAGTACTGTGGCAACTGCCTCCTAGATTTCTACTCAAATATTTGCCAAGTGCCCAGCATGTGCCTGGCACTTAAATATGAGTAAGACTCTGTACCTGCCCTCAGTAAGGTCACATAATTCCATTAATGCAGCCCAATTAATGATGTCAATGGTTGTTTCAGGGTCAGGCTCATATTGAACTTGGAATGAGCTGAAGTTCATATACATTGCAGTCAAGGCAGAATAACTCCTTCCAACCTAAGTGCACGGCTTTACAGAGGCCCTTGTTAGCTTTTATTACTTTGATTTTCGTCTTTTCCAATAACCAACATAAGAACTCCGGCAAGATATTAACTATTGTTAAAAACGAGGCAGTTAATACTTCATAAAAAAATAAAGCTCTTCTCTTATTTCTCCTCACTGAAATTGAAACTAGTTTCTGAGGTGAAGAGTGAGTTAGTCTGTGTGGTTTTACCTATGGCTGTAAATATATTATTTGCACAAAAGCCAAGCTGTGTTGTATCATTTCATGGTACTACAAAATGTGATGGCAAATGAGGGCTTAATTTTCTTTTCCTTTCCTTTTTTTTTAATTGCAGGTGCTGTGCTTTTCCTGGCAAACTCCTACTTATCCTTCCAGACCAAATGCAGATGACACTACTTAGGTGAACACTTCCAGATTCCTAGACAGAAGAAAGAACCACTTCTGTCTTCTCTTCTTTGCTCTTAGCTCATCACTTTAGCATGCTACAGGGTCATTTACCCATTTTCATGTCTGTTTAGGGTCACCAACCATCCCTGTGTACTGGGGACTGCCCTAGGTTTAGCACTAAAAACCCCAAGTCCTAGGAAACCCCTCAGTCCTGAGAAAATCAGGAAAACAAGTCACTCTACATGATAGTGAGTGGCTGCTTAACAAAATAGCCATCTTTTATGAGGGGCCAAAACCAACTACTTCACAAACACTGCCTTATATTTGTCTAATGTAAGACAACACTGAAAGGAGTTAGGATTATCCCATTTTACAGAAAGAGAGGGGAGACTGAGAGGTAAGTAACTTGCCCAAGATCACAGGGGTACCTGGAATTGAATGAACATTCACCTGTCATACAGCGGCTCTCAATAAATATCATGGAATCAGTAATCACTTGTCATCATGTTTCTATCACTCAGCATCAGCCAATATGCCAGTGTTGGTCCTTGATAAAGCCAGCAGGCATTTACAGGAGGGTCCATGTGATAGGAAGAACAGACAAAAAATATATATATTTATTTACATGCACTGCTTTTAAATGAACTTGCTTTTAAGTAAGTGTTACCTGCAGAACATGCTGAAGATGTGAATGCCAGCAAGTTCCACATGCCTCATGTTCTCTCACAAAGATAACATGGAAGTTTCCTGAAGACCATTTAACACACTTGGCTATGTATAGAGGAGATAATCCAGCTGCTAGGCCAGACCCAAGGGCTGTTTTCAGGTGGGACTTCCTGAACTAGTGGAACAGAGTACTGGGAAGACAGGCCACACTTCTCAGCAAAGAGGTGCTCCTTGGAGGTCAGCTTGTCATTTGTTGACCCTGAAATTTGGGAAACGTTACCTACTTCAGCACCCTCCTAAGTGGTACGGGTTACATTTTAGAATTTAAATACTGTGTGCATTCATACAGTATCTTTTTTTTTTTTTTTTTTAAACACTGTTGTGGTTGTAACTCTGAAGACCAGAAAAGCATGGCCTCCATTTTTGGACTTTGAACTTTTTTTTCCCTAACCCAACACCAAATTCTCATTCCAAGTTATAGGGGTTAGGAAGCAACCTTTCCACTCCCACCACAAGTTAAAAGAAGAACTCTGGGGACCATTTCTCCCTATTTTAAAACGTAAGTTCCAGACAGAGCGTTCCAAAGACAACGGAGAGTTCTGAGAATGCAGAGCCAAAGTGCCACACCGCGCCCACCCCCCCCAACACACCCACCCCCAGCTGCCATTGTATGTAGATGCTTCAAGCGAGCTATCTGGCTCAGGCCCTCCGAAAGGCTCCGGAGCCAGTTGCCCCTCCTCCCCCGGGGGGTGCCGTCTGGCTCCCCTGAGAAGGGGAGGGGGAAACTAGGAGCCACAGACCCAGACCCGGCGCCACTTCCACGGTTAATCAGTTTACCTGGGATGTGTATTTGGCTGGACCCCCCTGGGGACCTTCCCTGGCCACCCAGGGTCAGAGGATAATTTAAAAGCTCTTCAAAGCCGGGACCCTTCTCAGAGCCAGCCTAAGACTGGAAACCTGGGAGGGACAGGCTTTACTCTTCAAAGTGAGAACAAATGTGAAAGGATTTAGCACTTAGTAGGTAGTCAATAAATGTTAACTTTGTTTCTCAGGTCTGGGCTTCCCCTCCCCCGCAAAAGCCATCTCCAACCAAACCCGATCCTGTCCCTTCCTGAAATTCCACAAGGCCACAGGTCGTTTGCATTTTGAACTAGTGGTTGCCACTTCCCTTACTTTGCGAGCCCAAAGCAACCAGACCCTTTTTCAGACTTCATTTTGTTCAATCTGTAAATCGGAGCAAGAGAGCACAGGTTTGCTGGCGTTCCCAGGTCTGACATTCACAGGAAATATTAAACTGTGCCCGTTACGATTGTTATTTCTAACCTCAGCCCTCCAGACAAGAGGACGCTCAACTTATGGAAGCTGCTGCAAAGTCTCCATTTAAGTCAGGTATTATAGAGAAGCCCCTTTGGGCTTCCCGTGTCCCCGAACGCTGACCCGGCGTGCGCTCTCAATACACCCCGCACATGCGCCGCCGCAGACCCGCGCAGTGCGCAATGCGCTCTGGCCCCGGGCACCCACAAGGTGCCAGCCCCAGTTCAACCCATCTCCACTGCTCCAGTCCCTCCTTTGTACCAGGTGTGAAATCCCGACAGAAGAATCATCCGCCACTGCGAAGGATCCTCCAACTGGGCCGCCAAATGGCCCAGAAGATCTTGGGCCCTAGCCAATGTAATCAGTTCCCTGCTGAGGACTCCAAGGGAGGGCCGGGAGGAAATGGGAGCACAAACCCCGCGATCGCTAACGCTGTCCACCAAGGGCTCCCGGGGCTGCTCCTCCCAGCTCTCCAGTGAGCCTGTCGGCCTCCCGCGGTCACCTACACATGGGCATGGTGGGCTCAGACACACCCGACGTCTGCGGCAACACTCAGACCCTGCCACCCCGCCCTCCTCTCTCTTTGAGAAAAGCATCTAGAAAGCAAGCTCGCCCTTGCTTAACAGAATCTGGGCACTTTGGGGCTGTGACCTTCACCGCCGCCATCGTTCGGCGCCGCCAGCTTCGGTCTTCCAGTTTGCTTTCCTTGGAAACTCACGCATCCGGCCCCTTCCCCACCGCCCGCCACCCTACACACACACTTGTGAAAAATTAAATGCCCCAAACAGTGCTCAAGACAGCTTGTTCCGGTACCCAGCCGGCCCGGGTGCTTGCGCTCAGTACTCACCGAGATTGGGGTGTCGGGCAGCGGGGTTGGCCCTGCCGGGCAGGCTGTGCAGGACCGGGCTGTCGAAGGGACCGGCGGAGGCGGCGGCGGCCGCTGCCCAGGACGCGCCCACGTCGGTCATGTAGGCGGGGTAGGGGCTGGAGTAGGAGCCTGCGAAGCCCGCACGCCCGTACTGCTCGCGGCCCGTCAGGCCCGCACCCGCCGCTGCGCCACCACTGCTATAGGCCGCGGCTTCCCGGGCCGCGGCAGCGGCGGCGGCCGCTGCCAGGGACCCAGTGGTTCCCGGGAAGGAGAAGCGCGGCGACACAGGCGGGGGGCTGTAGGCGGCTCCCTCGGCTCCCGCCTGGCTCCAGCCCGGGCTGCCCTGCTGGGTTCCGGGCCCGGCACCCGACGGGGCCCCACCGGAGCTGCCGCCAGAGGTGGCTCCGGAGGCGGCGCCCCCGCCTCCGCCCTGGAGATAAGACAGGCCCAGCACAGAGGAGGGCACCCGCGGCGTGGGCACGTAGACTGGCGAGGACGCAGCCCCCGCGCTGTGCATGAAGGCGCCAGGGCCGCCTGCCTCGTAGGCCCCGGGAGGGGGGCCGTGGTTGGCCGCCATGGCCAAGCTCTGGTACATCGCCCCCGCGAGCTCTCAGCTTCTGAGTCCTCTCTCCCACGTGCGAGTCAAGGCGCAATGCAGGGACAGAAAATAATAGTAGAAAAAATAATGTACAGGTGAGAGCCTGTCACATAAACGAAATCAAAAATCAAAAGTAAAAAAAAAAACTCTCAAAAATATGTACGTATTAAATCCAGCATCGAGCAAAAAAGACTCTAGGCTCTTGTTTATAGGAAAATCCCAAATTGAATTTTTGGTTCTTCCTGGAGGTGCTGGAGGAGGGGCTGAGTCTACCCCCGGGGCCTAGAGGTCCCGAGCAACCAAGAATGGCAGAAGAGGCGGAGTAGTGCCTGGGCGCCTGTGCCGGGCACGGGTCTTCGGGTCACGCCGGCGGCCGTCGCTGCGCACGGTCTTCAGGACACCCGCAGACTCCGGCGCTGGGTGCGGTAGGCTGGTTCCAACGCGGAGGGTCCGGCTGGCTCTTTTCCTCCTTTCCTCCTTGCTGTGGTCCTACCTAAAAGAGGAACGACAAAAAGGGGAAGTTCATCAGGAGCATTCAGAGCACACTCGCTATGCTTGCGGTTGCTTCTCTCGAACTGCTAACCCAAGAAATCGTCGCCCTCGGCGCCCAGCTTTGGAAGCCGTGCGGTTCCGAAGGAAGCTGCGGTCTTGGTTTTGTGGAGGCCGGGGGCTGCTCCAGGAAAGCCTAGAGAGGGCAGCTCTAGGGACATGCGGCTTCACGGTTATTGGACATGTAATTACTGGTTGTAACCGAGGTCATTTTTTTTTTTTTTTTGTATTGCTTGTCAGGAAGGACTTTAATTTTACCTTATTTTTCAAGCATATTCTTGTCACAGTATTTTTTAAGTTCAAGGGTTTCGGGTTTCCGGCGGAGTGCCTGGGACACAAGAAATATTGCTCATCTCTGTCCCGCCTAACCGCAAGTGTCCCTGGCCATGAAAAAACTTTAGATTGCCCACGAAAGACAAACTTTATAAAAACCAGCAACCTAAGAAATTTTTGTTTGTACCTTTTTTTTTTTTAGCTAGAGGCAGAGTCTAAATGTTTATACATGAGCACAGGGTCTGCTAAATCTCTGTGAAAAGGATTGTGAAATCTCTTATCCATCCACACACTTTATCATGTGGAAGTCAAATCAGATGAGGTATTTGTTTCCTGCAAATAATTATATTTTAGCAATTTTGCAGATTGGGTATCAAAACCAGAAAAGTGAAAGAGATGTCCAAGTTCACTTTACAGAACTACTCACTGGGCCATTCAGATTCACTGAATGGGTTTTTCCATATAGAATCCCTGGTCATCCACCCATGCAGGGAATTAGAACACCAATGACACTGCTTCAAGGGGAAGAACAGTTCATAGGACTTGGTTATATCCTTGTATCCTGTGTTTTTATTTTCTCAGGCAATTTTTCGGATAAAATAAGAGCTCGACGTTCTGAAGCACCTGCTCTGTTCCAGGTCCTTTTCGTCACAGCTCCATTAAGGAAAGTGTGTCGCCTCCATTACAAAAGACGGAACTGAAGTATTGGAAAGTTTTGAAACTTGTCAAAGATCAAAATACAATTAAAGAGGGGTGGGGGACAGAATCTGTGGGCCTCCAGGGTTTGAGGTTGACCACTACACTCCCACTTTTCTCAAGAAGAGGCAACCACTTTTAACAGGGGTTTCTTTTTCATTGCAATAGCAGAATTACAAAGATATTAACTGACCGTTATTACACTAAATACCGGCTCTGTGACTTACTGATGACTTTCCACACATTACTTAACCTCTGTGCCTCAGTTTCCTCATTTGCAAAAATGCAAATGTTAAAGGTATCTATCTTGTAGAGTCACTTGAGGATCGTGAGGATTATACATTAATATATATAAAGCACTTATAACAGGGTTTTATAAACCTTATTAACAGGCACAAAGTTCTATATAATTGTTGGCCATTATTATTACAGATTTCTAGTGTGCCATAAGACAGTGCCTCAGATATAATCATACTATAATAAATGGGCATCTTAATTTTTATAAAAAATTCTGAAAGTGGAATTTCTAATACTATATAATGCTTTTAACCATTTTTGTAACATCACTAATGATAATGGAGTTAATAGCACTGTATTCTATAGTCACATGTTAACTCTTAGACGGTTTATTATTTGCTTTCAAAACTATACAATAAATTATTGGTTTGTTGGACATTTTCATCAGTAAGAAGTTTGGCTAGAGGGTGGATACAAAAAAATTTGATCTGAGGGGTACCTGGCTGGCTTAGTTCCTGGAGCATGTGACTCTTGATCTCCTGGTTGTGAGTTCAAGCCCCACCGTTGGGTGTAGTGATTACTTAAAAGTAAAATGTTAAAAAAAAAAATTGATCTGAGATCACCAACTTCACTCTTTGAAAATGAAGGCAAAAAATTAGTACCTCATAGGAATTTCTGGGCTTCAATAAGTAAATACATAGGCTTACCTTGATAAAATATTCAGTATTTAATTTTTACATCAAATATTTGACCTATTTCATTGTATATTCTGTGATACTCAACTTCTGCAGTTCTAAAATATAACGTCACACTTTTTTCTCACATAACTGCAGGAAAGGAAGATTTATAATTTTGTAAGCCAACTTCGAGTGTACATACAGACGCTAATTTACAAGCTTTAAAATGTAAATGCTAAAACTGCCATAAATCTAACATTTGTCTTTATTACATGCTCTACCTTTTTAAATGGCTGGTACATTACCTGGGCATTGGATTACTGAACAATAGACGGTGGAGAAAATACCCCTCAATACCTTTCTGGAAAGACAAGAAATCATTCTGCTTGTTTCTATTATTAAGCCTCGGTTCAGATATCCGCGGAGGTAGCAGAGCGAGCTACTGAGAATGGCAGGTCGGCCTCGCTATGGGGACTCAGGCCCGCTCCCCAGTTTTTCCTCTCCTCCTGATCACTCATTCCAGTTCGCCTCAAATTCACAGACCAAACAGGAAATGCTTTCTTCGTGTTGTAGCTCACAGCCCTTTTCCAATCCATGTCTGATTGCGGGAGGATCGAAAGCTTGCCCTAATGTCCGCGTCCATTCACAAGTCACTCCTGCTCCTTCGGCTCAGCTCGCGTCCCTGTTCTCGGCCTGCTGCGCAGAAAACTGTCACACACGCACCACACTGGCCGGCAATAATAAAGCTGGCCGCTGCTGGGGAACGTGTAGACTCAGAAGTGTGTGTGGAGGGGGGGAGGGTATCCCAATGAAACCTTTCTTTAAAAGCCTGAAACCTGCTCTTGGCTGTCCATTCCTTTTCTGAGGAACACAGGAAATACTTCTCTGCCGCGCTTCCCCAACCTTCCCCGGAGAGCCACCGCGCTGCCCCAAATCCTACCAGCCCTGGGTCCCTCTCCACCCTGTTTTCCAACAGAAAGACCTCTTCATTCCCTCCACCTGGTGGCAGTTCACTACCCAGGCATCCTTCTCTCCCCTGAAGGACCCCCTCGCCCCCAGCCCAAAGCCAAGCGACATAATACTATGGATCGGGGCAGCTAACCGTGGCTGGCGGAGGGACGTCACTGCTTTCCTCCCGGGTTCCGGCCCTCAGCTTGCCCAGAAGTAGTGTGAGTGGGTGGGGTTGTTAGCTTCGTGGGTGGTGTTTGTCTCCCTGGACCCCAGTCAGGAAGGCTAGAAGGCTAGCCAGAAGCGCATAAAAAGTCCGGGCGCTCAATAGCCGTTCCCGACTTGGAAGCGCCTGCACCGGGCCCGAGGCCCAGTCGCTCTGCCTCCCACCGCCACTCTGAGTCCCCGGAGCCACCGACGGGTGACACTGCTCCGTCTGAGCCCCTCCGTGCGGCCTGTCCCGGGTCAGTTGGTCAGTGTGATTTCGTACGGCCGTCATCCCCATCCAGACCCTGGCCTGGGAGGTGCAGAAACAAGGGCTGGAGAATATATACGCGGGGGCGGGAATTAAAAACGTTCAAGTTCACACACACACCCAAAAGCACTTCGAATATCCCTCTTCGCTTCCCCCCCAAATCTTACTTTGATTTAAAGACGCTATTAAGCCAATGCCCAAAGTTGAGCAGTCTTAGACCAATTTGGGGGCGGAGAGAGTGACCAACGTCTCCTTTCCATCCACCAGTTCCCTCTCTACTCCCAGGCAAACTGCGTAGAGGAGCTCTGAATTTCGCTGACGGCGGGAAAGAGCGTGGCGGGGGAAGAAAAAGCCGTACCTGCCGGGACTTGAGCTTCCTGGAGGGCCGGCGCGCGCTCCCCTGGGCGCCCGGGGAGCTACGGCAGCGGCGGTGCCTCTCTCGGCCACTGTGCCGGCCGCCTCCGCTTCCCCCAGCTCCAGGCGCGGGTCCCCTCGCCCCTGCGCTCGCGTTCTCGGGCGCTGACTGGTCTGTGGGAGTCACGTGCAAGGGCGGGGGCGGGGGTGCGCCGCAGAGGCTACACCTCCGCTCGGCGCCGGGCTGCGGGGCTGTACAAAAAACTCCCCCAACAGGCAAAGTCCAGGCGCAAGGATCTCGGAAAATGCTCAAGTGCCACTGCCGGGGAGTGGGGCTTCACCCACCCCGGTGCCTGAGGTCGATTCGGTTTGCAGTTTTGCGCAGGGTCGGCTTTATTCAGGACCTCCTCTCTCCTACCTCCTCCCTCCACCCCATCCCCCACCCCCGCCTCCTGGTGGTCCGAGTCCTGCCGCAGCCCTGGACTCGCGGGGCAAGGGGCGGGGCTGATAGAAGGGAAGGTGACCTCTTGGGCGAGACCCCTGATCGGCTGGGGAGCACAGGGTCACCAGGAGAGCCAGGCTGGCTGCGAGTCTCCGCGAGGTGGTGGATAGTGGGGATCCTGCTAGCCCCAGACTGCGAGTGGAAAAGACACGAAACCTGGGACTGGCCCACTCAAGTCAGAGCGCGGGGACGGCAGCTTCCTTTTCTCCTTCTCAGCAGCCTGGCTGGGGAGGCCGCAAGGCGGCCTCTCCAGCCCTCAACGTTATGTATTTATGCAAAACGTGCA